TTAACCCTTTAACCGCCGACAACGTAATATTACGGTTTTCGAAAGCTGTGTCCGAATCGCCACATACGTACAATCACGTTATTTTATTAAAAATCTTCTTATAGTGCACAAACTCCATATAAAATGTGTCAATTTCAAGATGTAGGGTATAATCTTTATTGTTATGGATATTTCTCAATGTTTTGAGTGATAAATACTGTGAAATTTGAGGTTTAATTAAATTGTGGTCACCGTCTCCATTATCTGTATCGCCAATCACGTAATTTTACGAGTACTAGGGATGGGGCGAATTCGAAAAATACTTAATAGGTTGTCTAAGAACAAACAAGGCACTATAGATATTACTGTCACTATTTGCAATGAAAGTGTATACTTTCATTAGAAAATAACCATAGTGTTACTTTGATGCAAGTATTTGTACTAATTAAAATGTATTTAAGTTTAAAATTATTTAATATTTATAACAATAATATAAAAATTTCATAACGCAGAACCGCACTAGTGCGGACAATCGCCGGTCGCCATCATCGTAATATTACGTGCGGCCAAGGAGATTATAGCGCTGTATTGTGAGTTGCCTTAGCGCCGTCACCGTAAAATCACGTTAAACATTTATCACTCAATGCAACTAGTGTTGTAAGCCCTTTTTTGGGTTTTTGTTATTTCTCAAATAAATCAACACAGTCAAAACCAAATGTGTCCATTATGCAAAGTTAGAAGATGGTGACGCAAAAGTTTTTGATCAGAGACCAAGTGATCCACGAAATGAATACTTTGCATCTTTAAAACCTTTTGAGCTGGAAACAGTACAGTCAGAAATCCGCTCAGAAGTTTACATGAAATTATTAAATTTAATACGACATGCTCGTGGAGCATCGTCACCGTCGCCAGCAGGAGAACGGACAACGCCGTGCCCATTTCCCGAATACACATTTTCGTATACTTCGTTTGAAGATTGAAAATTTTTAGATTATTTATTAAGTAGGTAAATAAAACATTGATTTTAATTAATAAAGAATATATGCATCGATATTAAGTGTTCCCAACACTGTTCCAACTTATACCTAAAGTGACGTGGCGCTGGAGGTAAGTTGAAAGTTCAGAATCTTGGCGGTTAAAGGGTTAACACTAAAAACAAAGAGGTCATCGTTGGTTGTTAGTAGTCACAATCAAGTTTTTGACGCCTGGGTCAGGCAAAGTACTTAAGGCATTGGTATTAAGGGTGAAAATTGGCAGTATTCCATAGAATTGGCGATTGTGTTATGTACAATTCACCCCCTATTGGGTACATGTGACGGACATGCCTAATTGTAAAAATATCTACATAGGTACCTATGTCTATCTTTTCGAGAAATAAATGACTTGTTTGTTACAAAAACTACAGATACAAAACAGACGCGCCGGAATTGTGAATCCGACCTCGGGGGCGAGGTCCTATACATTTGTTTTGCATACTTTCAGTGGTGGATTATGACGCATTTCTTATATGGCAAGGCAAGCATTTGTTTAATTAAATGTCTATACAGAACTGAACAGACATAGCAGAACTTTTTTAATTAAAATGTACGTACCTATGTATTTATATGCACGAGTTAGGGTTACATGTGGTAGAATAATAGACATTTTATTAATGCAACAAGTTAATTTCGCAGAATAAGTTTTGGCGTAGATATTGAGAACTGACTACTAGGGTCTGTATTACTAAAGAGGGGTCCTCTATAAAATAGTGGTTTCCCATAATCATTAAGCTTGGCAGACGACTTGAATATCGGAGAAAAGGTTTAACTTATTAAAGAGAGCTGCCTCTATAAATAACCCTGACAAGAAAGTTAATATGATGACAAATGCCTATTCGACTCTGACGCCATACACACAGACCTGAATGAATGAAAAATGAATTTGCTGAAAACATATCTAGATTAGTGTGACACTTTAGTCTATAGTTTATAGACTAAAGTGTCACAACATGTCATCATACCATATCATGTAAGTTTATAATCAATCCTCATTCCCCTCTTGTGTCCTGAACAGTAACTAGGTATATCCTCCTTCTAGTTACCTTGGGGGCCGATTGTTCGAGACTGCAGGTGTAGCCGACGACGTGAGAATATAAACGAGACCATTTCATCCATGAAAGAATCCTTAATGGTGTAATTTGTTATACCTCTTATAGCTTTCATACCTAGACCTACGTAGACTTGTTTACAACAGAATTACAGAAGGAAAAGAGAATTGTGATTACCGTAAAGTTGTTTTTTAATGCTTTATGCACACATTTTTTTTTTGCATAAGGTGGATTAATGTCCTGGACATTTATCTGGTTTTGATCTTCAACTAAAGTTATTGGACCATACATATATTTGTTATGCGCATAGATATACTGAAATGTTAAGCCGGAGGTAGCACATCAGTCGGTTAATCAAACACTACCTACGCCAATCATTCACTCTGTCATTCCTTTACCCGATAACAGTTAATAAACCGACTGCTTATTAAATTAAAACAAAATACCTTTAATTAGCGAATGATAAAATGATAAGGGTATCTACCTACATGTCCGGGTTATATAACAAAAGACAAGAAAATAAAGGTAATGCACAACGATATAGTGTTCTCAACTCAACGCATGCTGTGATGTCCTTCAAATGTTGTGCATTAGCAGTAAGATGTTAATTCCTAATTTTAAGTTAATGATAA